GGGGGGGGGGTAGAGGATGTGTGAGGGTGTAGGTATGGTGCAGGTAGGGTGTGTGGGGGCGTGGCAGGGGTGGGTGCATGCAGGTGTACGTGTAGGATGTGTGTGAGGGAGTGAGAGGTGTGTGTGGTTGAGGTGTGGGGTGTGCATGGGGAGGTGTAGGTGGGGGGGTGGAACAGTGTTGGGTGTGTGTGTGTGTGTGTGTGTGTACACACATGTGGGGTGGTGTGAGGTTGGGGTGTGGGTAGGTTGGGTGTGCACATGTGGGGGCTTCCCCCACTACCCACTCTTTGTGATGTGGCTGAGCCCAGCCCTTCTGCAGGTCTGGGGAGGGGGAAAATCAGCACTGCCTGCCTGGCTCGCAGCATGCTACGAAGGGCAGGAAAGCAGTTGCCAGCACTGGGCAGCAAGAGAAGTCCCTAGGAGAGGGGAGGAGGGGATGCCTGGCCAGCAGGGCTGCAGCCAAGCCTGCACAGGCTCCTGCTGCTGCTCCCACCCCACCTTCCTGTCCCATGCCTGCCCAGCAGGGCTTTGTGAGCAGCCAAGCTCCTTTATGCCCCCCTTCCACCCACACACTCCCCTGCCCTGCCATGCATGAGCAGGACCAAAGTGAGCTGCAGGCAGAGCCCACCCTGCTCCCCTCAACGCTGCAGCTTCCTCTCCCTACCTGCTGCCCAGAGCACAGCAGCAGAGACAGGAGTTGTTGTCGCTGGAGCCTGGGGAAACCCAGCAGTTCATCACTGGGCAGCAGCAGCCCTGCCTGGAAGCTGTGCCTGCTAACCAGGGTTGGCGCCCTCTGGCAGAGGAGGTTGGGAGTGCAGCATGCGCTGCCCCAGGCAGGGGCGGGTGGGACTCAGCCCCATGCACACCCCAGCAAGGGCAGTCGATTGAGTCTGCTGGAGTGTGGAAATTACTGCATTCCAGAAGACTCCAGTGTCACATGTATCAGCGTCCCCATGCTGAAAAATGGCAGTGGAGTGCTTTGAACTAAAGCTCATTGAATGAGCTTTAGTTTAAAGCACCCCGCCACCGTTTTTCAGAGCAGGGATGGTGATACATGAGAGGCTTTGGGCGCTTTAATTAGTGCAACTCTCAGAGCTGCGCTGATTAACGTGCCGTTCCTTGCCTCCCAGAGTACATCTACAAATACCCACAGGCCTTGAATACCCTTCGAAGTTTTCACGAACAAATTAAACTAATACTCGTCCAGACACAGATGAACCTGCTCTGAGTAGAGGGCTGGACTAGATAGCCTTTTAATGTTGCATCCAGCCCTAGTCTTCTATGATTCTAAGATTATTTTCTATAGCAGGGAGGGACCAAAGAATATAATATAAAATACAGAAAGATAAACTGAAGAAGATCCACAAACAAACAAAAAAAGAAAAGACATTAAGCACTTCCTGTCACTGAAGTTTTTAAAGAAAGCTGTTCTGCACTGAGCAACAGAAAAAAATTAGGTTAAATCCTGCAAACATTTGCTATTCACCAAATATCTTGACGTGCCTGACAGATCTGAATATAGGTTGTAGTTGAAGGATTGAGCCATTATTATGCATTGGCCTCTATCAGCTTATGTCCACATTTAGCATAACTTTTACAGTCACAAAACAAAAGCTGGCATTGATACCACTTCTTGACTGAATGCAGGAAACCAAAACTTCTACAACTTGCAGACTACTCCAGAGAGTGTACTGGCGATATTGTCTGGTTGTTTATTTTAGTTAAATCCTCCTTACTTACACAGAATGAAAAAAGCTTCGTCTCTAGGCACAGGCAGGTGGTAATATTCTAAAGTTCATGAATCTGCTGCACTTAGATTTTTAAAGTAAGTCTGAAACCTCAATCTTATTAACTAGATTATCTTAAGTTCCTTAAATATGGAATTACCATAGTACTACAACTGGTACATCAAGGCCATATCTCCAGTGCTTGTTCAGGCTCTACCTAGCACTGGTTTGCAGCTTTCTCTCTCCACGTCTCTGTCTTTTTTACACAGACACAAAAACCTTTTCAAAACAACAGAAAGCATGTTCTTTTCAATCCTTCATTATGGCCAGTGATGTGTTTGTGCTTGGACTGTGAGCCTGTTTCATAAAAGCATTTGATTGTTTCTTACTGCTGCCTTAAATGAAAGGTAGTGGTTTAATCAAAATGATTTATAAAACATACCTTATTCTCTTTGTATCTACTCATATCTGCTATGCAGTACTCTTTGAATAATTTATCACAGTATTTCTTTGCAAGCCTCTTCTCCCTGTAACCAGAAATGCATTATTTTGATTAAAGTACACTGAATAATACAGAGTGCAGTCAAGTAATACAATCCATTTTAAATACGAAGATAAAATGAGTATCTAATGACAGAATACAAGAAAATGAACATACAGTTCAGAAATATATTTTAAAATCACTACAACACAAATTATAAGTTTATTTCTGAAGTTGTAGTTAGAGTTTTGAGAACAGTAGTTTAGTTCAGACAGACTGCACAGACTTTAACTGTTTGTTCTTCACTACTACATCACCATTTCATTCTAATGCAGAGCCCTATCACAATATTTCCTACATTTCTTTCATTTTTAAATGCATCAAAATTTGAAAGCACAAAAAGTAAATATGCAAAGTAAATTAAAACAAATGAATAAAACATTAAAAAGTTACATGCAGAAAGTTCTAAAAGTAATGTTTTATTATAGCCCAAGTTACCAATTCATGTCCACTTCATCATTCTCCTTCCACAGGAATCTATGATTTTCTCTTATAACATCAAGATCGGTCTTATCATTTGCTCTGTGAAAAGGTATATTTTTATTAAAATACCATTACAATGAAGTTTTATACCACTATAAATAAAAGAATCGGATGACCTTTGGCAAACATTGGAGCTTTTAACTGCTTCTTTCATTCATTAAGTTGGATATTGCAAGGTACTGTGATGCATCAAAAACTGTTCATGATAACAAATAGTATAACCGGACACATTTTTCCTAAAAGAATATAAGTGCTTGCTTATAAAATAAAATAGCTAATGACTTTTAACCCTGTGGGTGATTTTGTCCCATCTGAACCAGATATGTTTAGAAGATAAAGGGATCATCTGCACTTCAAGTGTTTGGCTTCTTTGGATGGGTGGTTGGCAATATTCCAGATTTCATTAGTATCTTCACTGTAAAAATCTCAGCTAAGTTGTTAGTCTGAAATGTTCATAATAACAAGACACTCCTAAGTTAGTTAAGTCTGGTAACTATCTTGTAAAAATTATAGTGCGTTTCAACTGGCAAACATTTGCCAGAAGCTGTTCCAGCACTTTGTAGTACAAGATAATAAACTGAATTTAAGATTGCTAATTTCTACCCTCATCATCACAGGAATGAGAGATTAATACTTAGCAAACACCATATTATGTTATATGCACCATCCACATGCTCTCTCAACATAAAAATAAAAATTTCCAATTGGTTTTATATAACTTTTTGTCATCCGTACAAAGTTAAGACAAAACAATTGTCTGCATCAAAGTCACAATTTTCCAGAGTCTGTATATGTCACTGCAGAGT